GCGAGGGGAAATATTCAAGTGCGCCTCGGGTCGGACCTTATTCTGACTGCCCAGATCGAGGAGAAGGCGAGTTCTGATCACAGCCACAAAGACGAGCAACCCAGTCACACCGTCTCTTCCGATAGTGCTGTCGTCAATGTTGAAGAGCTCTAAGCCCTTGAAAACGCCATGAAGCTATCCCGAAGATATCCTTAACTCGTAATAATGATAGCGTGCTTTGCACAACTGAGCCTGATCATGTCTTCGATGCCTAGTCGAGGCTCCCCACTCGACATGTCTTGAGGTTGTGCAAATAGTGTAAGTTTTTTTGGTATAGATACTACCAGAATAACTTCAGTGGGCTCGGAACAAGTCGTGAGCCGTCTGACTACCAATCCACCCTTCTGGACCCATTCCTGTGCTTCCGAGCCTGGGATCTTCGCGACCCTTTTGTACATCTAAATCCCATCATCCAGATCAATTCGAGGGTATCTTGCTTAACTGATACCTGTCCCCCGAGACGCCGATAACACCACATAGATACTGACTAAACCCTTTCGTACACCGTTGGCAGTGAACCCCTTATGCGCCAGCCGTGAGCTGCTTGTGTCTTTTTAGACAGCGAGCAAAGTCGAGCTTCTTACCCTCCTTGGGCATGTGAGTGCCGCTCGCAATGCAGAGCACGCGCATGCGAGGGTCATATCGGAGACCCGTAAGGAGCTTGGGCGTAATGAGGAAATACTGCGACGTATGCTCACGGCAGGCAATTTCCACCATACGCTCATGCACCATGCGCTCGTTACGAGGATCCATACCCTGGTTGATCTCATCAACCACGCGGAAGGGCGACTGCGCCATTGATTGTAGAGCCATCAGGTAAAAGATGGTCGAAACAGCACGCTCACCGCCGGACTGGCGATGCTGGTTAAGCTGCTGAAGAGTCTCATTTTCTCTGTGTCATCGTCAGCAACTGAAATCTTGGCACAAACAAAGACAGCAAGACTTCCCAATGAGGGATGGATGTATGCTTACCTGAACTTGACCATGATATCCAGGGCCCACTGGTCAAAGTCTTCGTCCTTGTGGACCCGGATCTCGCCAGCGCAGTTGATCTGCTCGAAATTGTAGCTGAAGGCGTCATTGATTTTACTAATTAGTTCGTCGAGCTGCGGCTCCCACTTCTCGCGAATCTTTGTGATTTGGCGGTTGAGATGGTCGAGTTTGGCCGTGGTCGCTTCCATTTTGGAGCGCAGCTTCTCGATCTCCCGGGCCCGCGTCTCGAATTCGCGCAGGGCTCCTGGGTTCGCAACATGGATTTGTTCGATCGTGTGCTGCTCGGCGGCGATCTCGTTTTCGACGTCCTCGACGCTCTTGTCCTTGGCCAGAGATTCGAGAAGGTCTTTCCTAGTCTCATCCTGGGCAAAAATCTCAATGACTTTGCCCTGGGCGTCCTCAGCTCGCTGCCTGGTACGCTGAGAGTCCTGGGTCAAGGCAGCAATATTGCGCTTCTCGTCCTCCAACATCTGTACAAGCTCATTGTTCCTAGCTTTGAGACCCTGCACGTCAGACTTGGCCTCGATTTCGCGGATCTGAGCCTCTAGCAGCGCCTCTTGTGCTGCGCGAACCCCCGCAATAGCCGCGTGGTGCTGCAAGGTGGTCTTGGCCTTGCGTATCGTGGTTTTGTCGATATCAAAGCCCAACTGTTGAATGGCCGATCGGGCCTCCTCGACCTCCGCCTTCTTCTGGTCCAAAGCTCTCTTCTCACTTTCTATGTCAAGATTAGCATCTTCATCGACAGTATTGTGGTAAGCTGCTTACCAAGCTTGACTGGGATCGCTTGATAAGCGTTGTGGGCTCTCTGGAGTTCATTCTTTCTTTCCTTAAGTATTTTCTGGGACCGAATTAGTATCGCGGTCTCGAGTGCTCGTGATGTGACTTACAAGGTCATCAAGGATCTCATTTCTCCTGTCGTTGAAACCAGCCATCTGGCCTCGCACTTCGGTGTTCTGAGCTTTCAAAGCGTCAAATTCTGCCTCAACCTCGCTGATCTTGCGTTTGATTTCGCTCTTTTCCGCTTCATCGACTGGTTGATCTGTCCAGAACATGCCTTGCTGAATGCCCCTGGTCATCGTCGAAACGGCTCCAGGACCAAGATCTTTGCGACGAGACACTCTGTAGAGCTGCCGGCCCGTCGACCAGTTGTTGATTACCTCCCCTTGAACGATTCGATCATATTGGGCGTCGTTGATGTCTTTGAGTGCGATACCCGAAGCATCGATTTTCTTTTCATTGCAAAGCATCGCGAGCACTGGCTCTGGCCCAGTGATCATGTCCAGTGCAAATGCGTCTAGTCCAAGGGCGTTCGCCTCGTCCCGACTCATCTTAGGACGGAACTCATGCAACGGCTTGAGGATTGACCGAACATTGACAGAAAGACTCATGACCTTGTACAGGTAGTGACTGAGCTTCTTATGATCTTCGCGAGTCTGCGCCGTGAAACACAGAAAATCGTCGTTGTGTAGCAGCGCTTGGATCTGATCCGAATACCGTTCGTCCTTGACTGAGCAGCAGAGAGCGGGTGGCCCAAAGACCTCTTTCTCGAACTTATCCGTGTTCTCCTGAAGCCAAGCATAGCCCTTGGCCACATCGGGCCATTTCTTCTGGATGAAGCTGAGCATCTGACCCTGTTGAGAATGGAGGCCTTCAAGCTCCCGGTTCAGAGCCTGCTTCATGTGTGTCTTGGCATGCCCTTGTTCTTTGATATCCCGAAGCTTGCCTTCAGCTTGACGGGATTCGGCCTCAAGCTCTCGGAGCTGATGCTCCTTCTCTCGCTAAACGCCATGTCAGTTTGCACTGCCAAACATTGGGCAATGTGACCTACAATTTGGGTGTTGTGTTCTGTGGCATTGAATTCTGCCGGCTTGTTCTTTTTTTGATTTTCCAAAAGCCCTATTTTGCTTCGAATCTTGCCTAGCTCTTGCTTTTTGGATTCGAATCCCTTCTTGCTACTCTCGATATTGCCCTCTATCGTCTTTACCTGTTCGTCGACATCCTCAATCTTGTTGAGTGCTGCATCGGCCGCGGCCTCTGTGCGCCGTAGAGCTTCTTTCCGACTGCGAACCACAGCCGACACCTTTTCGTGATACACTTGCTTCTGATTAACAGCTTGCAGGGACGGTGCAGCCTCTTGCTCAAGCTTTCGCAAGTTTTTCTGGGCAAGCTTTTCCTGCTGCCTCTTCTCCTTGTAGAGGGCCTTGGACTCGAGATAATCCGCTACCGCTCTGGCATCGGTGAGATCAATAATCTTTTGCAGGGCCTCCTCTCGCTCGCGAAGTCTATCAACATCGTGCTGCATATAATTCTGTCGATCCTCGAGTTGCTTTAAATGGTCGCCAGCGGAGTCGGTCCCACGTTGAAGCTCCTTTCTGTCCTTGTGAAGATCCTGCAGACTCTTTTGCCAGTCCAGCATCTGCTGCGGCGCTGCAGCACGCAAAGTCTCGTGAAGTAGGTCTATTGGTGTAGCGGAAGCAAACTCAACGACGCGGTCCTGGGGTAAAAACTGGCACAGGTTGTCGACCTGAATCTTCAGATCCCTCATCAACCCTTGTATAGCTTTGTGTGACGAATCCTTGCCATTCAACCACCATTTCTGACTGTTTCTTTCGCGGTCGATTTGAACCCGGATGACGTGATGTGATCTGTCTTCTGGTCGGCGCTGCAATTCAATCTCGATGACAGCGGAAGGCTTCCCATGCTTGACAAACTCCTTGACATTGCCTGCGCGCCCTAGATGTTTCGGACTGAAGCCAAGACCGAGGCAGATGGCACAGACGAGCGAACTCTTTCCCGTTCCGTTGGGCCCAATCACCATATTCAGGTTGGGACCAGGGAAAAATTCGGCGAGTTCGTATGTGACAAAATTCTCGACTTTCACCCGGCGGATTGCGCCAGGCGAAAAGCCATCTTGGTCGCCTCGGCTCGATGTGCTCTTGGATCCATTTGTACGAAATCCGTTCGGTAATTCGTGGTCATCGTCGTCCTCGGAGTCGTTGGCGCGTCGGCTCAGGCGGGGGCGCTTGGTACCTTCAGAGCCATCGGAACGCGGTTCTGAATCGTCGTCCTCGATGTCGCGTCGTCTGCGACGACTTGAGGGATGGGAGGGCATTTCCGGTCGATATGGTGTTCTGGAAGCAGAGGTGTGTGTGTGGTAAAGAAACCGGTAAAGTCGGTAAAGAGCGATGCCGATCTGAGGGAGGCTGCCTTACCTCGTTGGCGTTGGTGGACGTCGAATGCGACGCGAAGTAATTAATTTAGACGCGTCGGATCTCACCCCGCGCGCCACACTCCCTGTAGGCTCCCTTCGTCGTTGAGGAAAGAGCTAGGAGCGTTCGATTACATAAGAGTCGGCGAAGGCGCTTAGCTAAGACTCAGCTACCTATGTAGCTGCCCGTCGCAAGGTGGGAACAGTGGTGGGGTTGGTGGGGCGCTCAGCTGCCGTGCGCTCCAGCGTAGGCAGGTCCCGTCCGGTGCATCTCAGTGGGGCTGAGGTCCGCACGGATTCCAGTGCCGCGGGTGGCTGCCAACTTCATCCCTTAACATCAGCCGGTTGTTGATCCGTCGTCCGATGCGGCCAACGTCGTCTATCGCGCCCCGATGGCCCACTTCTCAGGAATGTTCGCTGACACCTGATGAAACCCTTCGTCAGTTTTCTTCGAAAGGTGTGGTGACACCTGTCGAGGATGCTTCGGAAGTGAGGTTGTGTGGGTGTGACTACCTTCATCCATAGGATTGTCCACAATGTAATTGTAGGTACGCCAGAAGAAAGAGGCAGCTGTCACCCACAACAACGCACGTATGTAGGTACTCTGAATGGTACTTCGATCGCAGACAAAGTAGGGCGGAATTTGCTTTAGCAAGAGCAACGCTTGTAAGTGAGATAGCCACGATAATCAACGATGATGAGAATGACCAGAAACCAAAAATGACGTCCGAGGGAGGCAAGTGTGGTGGGTGACAGACTCAGAAAAGAGCGCCATGAGCGCCTCGAGTTTTTTTTTTCCTTCGCTTGGTTCCTTCTCCAACGTCAGGTGAGATGTCTGGTGGCCGAATTCTAGAGCTCCGCCTTCATTCCAGTTGCCCTTGACTACTTCGGAGCGTGAACCCCAGTGAGACCTTACCGCTGCTGTATTCGTCCTTTCAACGGGCCTCGAGGTCGCTCCTTGGAAGGGGGCAACGTCTGTCTGCTGTCTGCTGCCTCCCTTCGAACCTTCTATTTTTTGCCGATTGCCTCACCTGCCCCAGCACCCTGGCTCCCACTTGCATTCCCTTCTCCCACCACAACACCTCTGCCTTGACTCTGCGCGTCTTGGGCTTTTCCCCCGTCACCACTCGGATACCCGCGCTGCCTTTCTTTCTCCCACCTCCAAACACCATCACACACCACCCTCTCGGTATCGTCTGGCTTTTTTGGCAATCAGTCTATCAAAAAATCCATCCATTCGTTCAGATCCTGGCCTTCATCACCCTCTCTTCTTTCTCACTCACTTAGTTCATCCAGGAACCTTATCCCCTTTCCCAAACATCTCCCTTTTCAACGCCTTACACACGGTAGACATCACCACTTGCCGTACTCGAAACCGATCATGTTCTGACTGCGACCCCGGAACTACCGCTGCAATGTCCGAGACTGGTCGGACGAGGGCTTCCGCCTCTCAAGCCCGGGCTCCTCTCGCGGATGCGACTCAACGCGTCAATAATGCTTCATCCAAAATCCCCGTCAAATCATCAAAGTCACGCGACAAGAACACCGGTCATTCCCAGCATGCTGCGACTTCGGATCGCCAACGCTACACCAACGACTATGACCCGCCGGTCTCTGGAGCGAGAGCCACAGCTGCTTCGGCTGGTACACCTACCGCTCGCAACCCTGCTGTTGCAAGAGCGCGAGCATCCCATGACGTCGACCCGTCGAAGCGCATGTCCCAGGCATCTCAGGCCTCCACGACCACATCGAGCAAAAGAAGCAGCGGCTATGCTTACAAGACACACATCGGTCCCTGGTTGTTAGGCAGAACCCTCGGAAAGGGCTCATCGGCTCGCGTGAGACTCTGCAAGCATCGTTTGTCTGGTGAATTGGCCGCCGTCAAAATTGTGCCCAAGAAGACAGCCTATCTGATCCAAGCCGGCAGCCTTGCTGAACTTCACGACTACGACGACAGTTTGCCCGAGAAGATCAATGGCGAGATGCGTGTGCCTCTTTCGATCGAGCGAGAAGTGGCCATCCTGAAGCTGGTCGATCACCCAAACGTTATGAAGGTGTATGATATTTGGGAGAATCGATCAGAGATGTTGGTTGTCACTATCGCATTGAGACGAGTCCCAAGCTAACTTTCGAACAGTTATCTGGTACTTGAGTATGTTGAACAAGGCGACTTATTCGACTACATCAATACCAACGGTCGGTTCACTGAGGAAGGCGCCATGTTTCTCTTTCGGCAAATGATGAGCGCCCTTCAATATTGTCATTCCTTCAACATCTGCCACCGAGACCTGAAGCCCGAAAACATCCTGTTGACCCCCGACAACAAGGTAAAAATTGCCGATTTTGGCATGGCCGCTTTGCATCAATCTTCGGAGCACCGACTTGTGACGGCTTGCGGCAGTCCTCACTATGCTGCCCCTGAGCTCTTGAAGCACAAGCACTATCGAGGAGATAAAGCCGATATATGGTCTCTGGGCGTCATTCTATATGCCCTTCTAGCCGCGTGCTTGCCCTTCGATGACCCCGATATTGGTGCACTGCTCCAGAAAACCAAGAGGGGCATATACGAGATCCCAGATTTCCTGAGCCCTGAAGCCAAAGATCTCATCCGTCGCATGCTTGTGGCCAACCCTGACACAAGAATCAGCATCAAGGAGATGTGGCAGCATCCACTAATTCGGAAGTACGACTACCTCGACGACCTTGGCAACAACCATCAGCTCAACGATCTTCGCAAGGGCTTTCACTACACTCCGCTGAAGCCCCATGAAGTTGATCCTCATCTGGTTAGGCAGCTTCGGTCACTATGGCACATGCTCACCGAACATCAGATCAAATTGAAGCTCATGGACTCTGCGTATGTTGATTTCCTAGCCCGCTGATTTGGCAAAAAGCTAACTTGACCCAGGAAAAACGACCAGAAGCTGTTCTACTGGCTTCTTCACAGCTACCGCCAGAAGCAGCTAGAAAATTTCCTCCCCGAGTTGTCGCAGTCTCCTAGTGATTACCATCATCTTCATGAACCCGTTTGGAAGAAAAGGGTATCCACTGTCGAGTTCAATCAGCCCAGAGCAGACGGAACGGGCAGAAGTGTGTCGCGCTTCACAGTCATCTCCCATGTTGCGGAGACAGATGATGGAACAGTTCAGAGCTACGATCCTTACAACTCAAGCCGACCTATGCGAGGGCATTCTCAGGCAAGCCATGCAAAGATTGTCGTTCATCGCAATCGTCGCGGCTCCATGAAGCGGGACAATACACAGACATCGCAACTGTCACGCATCAAGACAGGATCGACGCTGCGTCACTCACGCGTCAACTCCCAGCGAACAACGCACTCTGGACGCTTCCAGTCTCCACGTAGCTCAATGAATTCGCTCCACAGCAGCAGACCAGGAACCTCTTATAGCAGACCGGCTTCCCGTCACAAGCGAGGTATCGACTTTTCGCACATAAGAAAGAAGTCTACCGATAGCCACGCCGACAAGCGTCGTCGAGGTGCCCCGAGTGTCATTGGAGAGGAAACTTACCTGAAGAGACCGCAATCTCCAACCAGTCCGCCAAAGCGCATTTCTATGATGGACAGACCCAGACCAAAGCTGAAGATTGTGAAGCCCAAGGATCCAGCGGTCATTGTTAACGAGGAAGTTCGGCACTTCAGCAACAGTATTGCAAAGGACTGCGATGAAGCCTTCAACAGCTTCCTATCTGTCGATGAGACAACAGAGCTGGTCTTGGAAGACAAGAGTAGTGGTATCAAGAGAGAGTCTACAGGCCTGTCTTTGGGCCCAGTAACACCCTCTCCCGAGACTTTAACGAATCCTTACCATCCATGGGACACTCGACCCTTGCCGCCTTTACCGCCTCCTAAATCGACGCCATCCTCGATTTCGGAATCTGAGAGGCCTAGCAAGAATTACGACCATCCCAAGGATGCACAGCATTCTGGCCGGGTCGGAAAGTTTGTTGATCAAGTCAATCGTCTAGGCTTTCCTACTCTACTTCCTAAGCAAGATCGCCGTACTGTATCTGCACCTACACATAGTCAAGGCAAGGTGACTGGTCGCTTGCCGGCAATCAACGAGAACGGGCGAGACTCAGAGTCTTCATCCCACTGGGCAGATGCTGACCGAAACAGGATTGTATCTGCCCCGCCCAAGACCCCTGGTGGATACGCTGAAAATGATGGTCTTGACTATCTGGTCCAAGCAGGAGATACCATCCGTGTTGTCAACTCCCCCAGTGCAACGAGTCCGATCCCGAAGCCTCTGAACGTGCGAAAGAAGACTGCCGAGCGACCAGCTTACGAGGACCAGGTCGAGGAGCGCTACGTCTACATGCATGGTGCGTCGGGTACAGATGAACCATCGACTCCATCTGCTACTACTTATGGAAGTGGCACAACGAAGCAGAAAAAGTCCTCGTGGTTCAAGCGGTACTCAAAGGATAGCACTTCTAGAGAGGGTAGTATCAATACCGAGGCAACTCAAGAAACCCAGGCATACAGCATGACAACACAGTCTACAGCCCCAAGCCGCTCGGAGACAAAGATCCACGAGCATCCTCCCCCGATTGCAACCAAGAAGAAGGGGTTCGGCTTGCTTTTCTGGAAGGGCAGCAAGGCCAAGTCAGAGGGGAAGATGGCGATCGCGGGTGAGCTACGAACTACGAAGATTGTACCCATTGAGAATGCTTCACTAACATATGTCACAGGCCCAGATTACGATGACTCTTCCTCTCCCGACAACCATATCAGACACGAAACGAGCCGTAAATCAGTTAAGAGCTGGAACGACTCTGAGAAGGGAGCTCGGACAATTGCGGTTCATCAAAACTGGCTGGCTCGCCTGTTCGGGGTCAAGCCCGCGACAAGCTACGTGTGCCTGGTCATGTCACGCAAGCGAGCTCGGCAGGAAATGGTCATCCTCCTCAAAGACTGGCGACGTTATGGTATGAGAGATATCCAGGTCGAGAAGGAGAGAAACATTGTGTTTGCCCGAGTTGGGGCGCAGAATTGTAAGTCATTTCCCATCCCCCCATGGTAAAGCCATATTGTCTCTCCCTACTAACTTCCTCTGCAGACTTAGGCATGAAGGAAGTTGCATTTGCCGCGGAGATTATGACAGTGATCGAGCACGGGAAGAAGGGTCCCCTCTGCATTGTACGATTTACACAAGAGCGCGGAGCGGCCAGCAGTTTCCACAAGGTTGTGGACACGGTTCGAACGGTGTTCGGATCGCGAGGGCTGGTTGTCGCCGACAAGTCCAAGGAGAAGATGATGATCAAAACGCTCAATTCCTGAGGATGGACGAGATTGCATTTGGCGTCAGAAGGTGGGCGGCGACATTCTTTTTTGGGGCACCGGCTCGGGAGGTTGCTTGACTGAGGATCGACGGGTTCCCCCACGATTCTGCTTTTTCTTTTCTCACTTTTTCTTGCCAGTCACATACCTGGGATCAAGCATAGGCTAGGCATTTTCATTTCGGAGGATAAGGATTGATTCAGTGCGAGCATGGATTATGGATGCGGCTCGACATCACGGGCCTTGGAGAGCATTGAAGGAACTGGAGGATGGATAATTACTGTGGTTGGATGGCTTTCCCAGCACTACAGCTGAGGTTTATATCCATATCACGATGGATTGGTGGTTTGGAGATTCCGTCCGATGATTGAGATTATTCTTCAGCCATCAACAGTTTCTTTGTATGGCTGAGAGGCGAGGAGGCTATTGTTCATAGAGTCGAGCTGCATAGGTACCAAAAAAGTTGATTGCTATTACATTACAGAGGAGGGCTGTTGAGTATGTTTTCAATACCTTACTCAATGTGTGTCGTTCTAGGTGACGGCAAGGGCCGGAAACTGTCGGCATGCACGAGGACGCTGATTGGAGTACGCGGAGCTGGGGTAGCACGTCTGCCAGACCTCGGCAGCTCGGTGAATCGGATCTAGAGGTGAGCTCGAGCCACGGGTAAGGATCCATGTGTTCCGCGTCATAAGAGCTCGGCAAGTGGAGAGAGCATTGGTTTCTTAAGCATGTCAAGATAGAATTGATTGCCGATTTGGTGATATCTTCAGGTTGCTTGTCGCTCGCCCTCAACCATGCTCCCATTCGAGACTTGGAGGAGTTGATACGCAACAGATTCACCGTCCCAGTTCTGAGAATGCATCCGTATGTGGATCTGCGGCAGACCCTTATTCTTTTTTTACCTACCCCAGAGACGGAGACGAGCTTCAATTGCGGGCCTCGCCTCCGTCGAGTATGGCTTTCGCCGGCGGCGACAGTGCATTTTTTTCTTATCGCGGCCGGATCCGACTTCGGCCTGGGGAACTGGGGGTTTTGGGCGTTTACGTTGGGATACGGGGTTGTGAAAGCACGCACGGCCATGACTTGGGGCAGAAAGAATTTGCACATAATTGCTCGATTGTATCGAGTAAGAGATTCAATTGAGTGAGTTGGTTCAAGTAGTTCTGTAGTAATTACGGTCGATGGCGGAGATGGCCATTGTTGCTGTCGATTTTCTCTGCAAGTCTTATCGCAATCTGACCCCACCATGCGATGCCCATGTCACTGTCAGCCCAATAAGACTGGCCAGAGGCATTGCAATGAGGTCACTGCAAAGCCAGGCCCCTCAATGGAAGGCAGGTGTGGTGTTGCTGGGGTTCACTTCTCACTCGGATCAGAACCCGAGCTCGACTGCCATTGAATGAGGCGCATGGAAGGCAAGGGCCATAGTGCGGTACATGCCATGAAGCAAGCTGGAGGAGCACATGCAAAGTCACTGTCCTGGCCGTACCTACGTTATGTAGGTAAGGTAGACTTGGAGGTTCCCGTCGGCTTCTTTTGGACGTCGGGTTTCACTCTTTCCCCCACACTTTCACAAGCGTCTGGCGACTGCTTCTCCTTGATGAACCCAAGGAACCTCCCTTTGTAACCCGATCTCCAACATCAACCACAACGCATGGACGCCTCTCTCTCTATCGAGTCTTTCCCTTCCCCTCTTCTCCCCGCGGTCCGGCTGTGAAGCTCTCCATCCACCCGAATCAGCCCGATCACTGCCGACCCAGGTATGGTCACTAGCTGTTTCTGGGTCCCTGACTAAACTGTCATGATACTATCCCGGTACAAAAGATGGCCAGCCATGTGGACTTTGCCCTTCGGCTACCATTCCGCCAATTTGCATGTACCTCGGGTGGATCCCGAGAGGTTCCCCAGGTCCCTCTTTTTACCTCTTCCTCTCCTGGTCTACACAATGGAAGTCTGCGCATGCATCATTCCTGCCCTTGTCATGGATGATGGGCGCCGGCCAACCCCTCGCTCGACTCGTCTGTGCCGAGCTTGCGACGGCACTCGCCCAGGTCCAACGCGCCAAACCCCCCGTCGGGAGCTGTCTTCTTCAATAATTACATAGTGCCTTGCATTCTTCGTCCGTCAGCCAGCAAGCCTACTTATTCCGTCTACTTCTTCCAGAACACCCAGCCTCATCTTTCCTTTATACTTCTTCCATCCCAATCCAATTGCTCTTGTTCTCCTTGAAAACTAAAGATACCCCGCGTACTACGCTTACCATAACCGTCCTGTCTCACGACGAAGCTTGTGCGCATTCCTCTTACACGTGAAAACCTTCCTACGACTGCCAGCCAGTACAGTCGCCGACTGGGAGATTCTACTATTTTGCGTACTACCCAACACTAAACACCATCACGAAGTGTAGAGACACACATATTCGCACATATACATACACACACAATGGCTACCACCGAAGCAATCCTTCAAGGCGTCAACGTCTTGGGCAACGTCACGGATGCCCAGCGCAAGATCCTTACCCCCGACGCCCTCGCCTTCCTTGCCCTGTTGCACCGCTCTTTCAATGCCACTCGCAAGTCACTGCTCGAGCGCCGCAAGCTCCGTCAGGCCGAGCTGGACCGCGGCGTCCTGCCCGACTTCCTCCCCGAGACGAAGCACATCAGAGAGAATTCCACATGGAAGGGTGCCCCGCCGGCTCCCGGCCTGGTCGACCGTAGAGTTGAGATCACCGGCCCCACCGATCGCAAGATGGTCGTCAATGCTCTGAACTCGAATGTTTGGACTTACATGGCTGATTTCGAGGGTGAGTTTGCGTGCCATCCGAAAACGCACTCGACCTCAATGGCGTACTGTACTAACAATCATCTGCCACAGATTCGAGCGCGCCAACCTGGGATAACATGGTCAACGGCCAAGTGAACCTGTACGATGCCAACCGCCGCAAGGTCGACTTCAAGCAGGGATCCAAGGAATATAAGCTCCGCACCGACCGTACCCTGCCTACTCTGATTGTTCGACCCCGTGGCTGGCACTTGGAGGAGAAGCACGTTACCGTTGACGGCGAGCCCATCTCTGGCTCCCTCTTCGACTTTGGCCTCTACTTCTACCACAATGCCCGTCAGACCATCGATATTGGCATTGGCCCGTACTTCTACCTCCCCAAGATGGAGTCCCACCTCGAGGCCCGCCTGTGGAACGACGCTTTCACCTTGCCCAGGACTACGTCGGTGTCCCCCGTGGCACCATTCGTGGAACCGTTCTGATCGAGACTATTCTGGCTGCGTTTGAGATGGACGAGATCATCTACGAGCTGAGAGACCACAGCTCCGGCCTCAACTGCGGTCGCTGGGACTACATTTTCAGCACCATTAAGAAGTTCAGGAACAACTCCAACTTCGTTCTGCCCGACCGCAGCGCCGTCACCATGACGAGCCCGTTCATGGATGCCTACGTGAGTTGCCTCGCGCCCTCTCGCATGCCTTATATAGAGGAGGTACTAACCCCCGCCGTAGGTCAAACTCCTCATCCAGACCTGCCACAAGAGAGGCGTTCACGCCATGGGCGGCATGGCTGCCCAGATTCCCATCAAGGACGACAAGGCCGCCAACGACAAGGCAATGGAAGGCGTCCGCGCCGACAAGCTGCGCGAGGTGCGCGCTGGTCACGATGGGTGAGTCGGCTGCTATTCTTGCCTCATGACACTGAGTTAGCTACTAACATCATAGCAAAGCACATGGGTCGCTCACCCTGCTCTGGCTTCGATTGCCTCTGAGATCTTCAACAAGAACATGCCCACGCCCAACCAGCTCTTTGTCCGTCGTGAGGACGTCAAGATTGGCCAGAACGATTTGTTGAACATGAACGTGCCGGGAAAGATCACCGAGGAGGGTATCAAGAAGAACCTCAACATCGGCCTCGGCTACATGGAGGCCTGGATTCGTGGCGTTGGCTGCGTTCCCATTAACTTCCTCATGTAAGTCCCACAAGCTGCCTGCCCCCTTCATCAATCACATCAAGAGAGAAAAAACTCACATGTCGCGTGTGTAGGGAGGACGCCGCTACCGCCGAGGTCTCTCGCTCTCAGCTCTGGCAATGGGTCAAGCACGGCGTGTCCACCGCCGAGGGCAAGAAGGTCGACAAGGCCTACGCTCTCAAGCTCCTCAAGGAGTCCGCCGACGAGCTCGCCAGCAAGGCGCCCAAGGGTAACAAGTATCACCTCGCCGCGCAGTACTTTGCCGGCCAGGTCACCGGTGAAGATTATGCCGATTTCCTGACCACGTAAGTCTACATCATACCACCTTCATTGCCACAACGCCGCCGCCATCAGCACCGGCACCATCTCGTTCTTCTTCGGGGCTTTCTGTTTGCGCCCCGTGGCTTTGACCCGCTTGTGATTGTTTATCATGGAACAAATTTTCTGACTTGACCAACAGTCTTCTTTACGATGAGATTACCGTCGTCGGTAGCGCACGCCCTGCTTCCAAGTTGTAAACCAGGAGGGCTAGTCGAAAGCTTGCTTCCGAAGCGAAGGAGGTCACGCGCGAGATGTCATGCGTAATGGATCTTCTGGTTGGTGCCTCTTGACGAGATGAATACCAGGGACATTTGAAGTGTTGTTTCACCGAACGGGTTGGGTCTCGGGCCAAAGGCAGGATCTGGGTCGAAAATTCGCCGGCCAGAATTTGGAAATCTGCTTGATGTATCGGGGCTACGAATGTAAGAATGAATGAGATTGAAAATTGATTCTTATTTCATGAGTCACACGCCCCCTCCATATCACTAATAGTTCACGCCGCATCATGGCTTTCGGTTGATTTTGTACAGAGGAAGGTCCGGATTTCTTCAGAGTCTACACGTCAACGAAGGCGATAAGTTGAGGTGGGTGGGCTTGGCCATGGATGAGAAGCACTATTCGGTGTGAGTGAACCCGGACCTAGATCCGTGGCTTGACTTGGTCAAGTTGGAGCCAGGTTTGAGGCAAATAGCCGCAGCCGAAATTTTGGAAAGTCATTGGTCCCAAAATGTGCATGTGAATCTCTTGGTTCATAGCCACTGTCTTCCGTGGTTGAACGTAGTTAATGGTTTGGCGAGACACGAGGCTGATAATGGAGTCTGTAGTGGACCCCGCCACTGGGTTTCTTCTTTTGCCTTGCCCCCTCCTCAAGCCGTTGCTCGTCACGTATGAAACTTCCTGATGAATCGACATACCTGGAGAACTGTTGGGCTGTGCGTTTGTGGGGGGCGTGTAAGTTCTGAGTTGTGTCGAATACGGTTCGGTTATCGAAGATGAGGGAAGAAGAAATACGGTGCACGCCTATTCAGATAATCAGGTGGAGGTGGGCCCTTCATGCAGGTTACTCTTGAGACTCCGGTTCGCTTTCAAGGTCCAGTCAGGTGTGAAGGAAGGCCGTATCGTCGGTA